TTATCTATTTGCTGTAAAATAATTTGTTAGCTATGAGTTATTTTAGTTTCAATGGTGTACATGAAGACCGAGAACATTACAAAACTTCTAAAAAATAACAAGATCAATTATGTTACCAACTGCACTTACTTGATTTGTTTTTGATTTTGACTATGAATGTTGGTTTTACTAGTTTTATACTAAATACCGGTGCTTTACAAACTGCTATAAGTAGTAGGATCAATTATTCCCTACTTAGTTTGTCAATTATTAATTGTTTGCAATAAATCTAGTTAGGCACTAGTTTACCCACACTAAATACTCTATAAGAATGCTGTAAATAGCCAGATCAATTCTTTATGTTATCTAGATTTATTTCCCGCATCAAATTTTACTTTTACTAGATTATATATAAAGTTGTCTTTTGGTATTTTATTGGTACACACTTTATAGTTTTCAACTACTCCATATAACTGTTTATGAGTATTAAGCTATAAAAAATAAGGCTAAAGTAGTCTAATCTTTGTATATAGTGAAACACTGCAGTGTAGTTAGGAACCTGTACATACAGGTATAGTTACCTTCTAGAAAGTGTGTTTATTTAATATTTGATAAGATTCTGAGTGAATTATATCTGAATTATAATGGTGATTGTGGGGGGAAATGTATGGTAAAACAAAACCTTTCAATTCTTGAAAGCGCAACTGATCAACAAGTTTTTTTGTCATGTTACATGTAAATTATTATTAGTTCATAGTGACCAGCAAATAATGATGTATCTAATGGTCATGAAGTTAACTTGATATTAGTTTAAATCGAATGAGTTCTCTATTTTCAGCGAATTTCCTTAGGGAAAAAGTCATAAGTGGCATGTTAAGACCTAGGCTCTGTACCGATTTACTTTTTCATTTTTATGTCACTATTCGTACTATCCACTAATCAGCTGAGTAAAACAAAATTATTTTCTACAGTAGATTAAATAGATGTCTATTTGTAAATGATCCAGCTGACCTTTATCATTGAGCTTTTAATAAATGGTCCTGGCTTAAAAACAGCTGTCTTAGTCCAAAAATATTAAAAACTACAAAAGGCATCTCACACTAATCTACAATCGTTCTTAACTTATATTTGGGTCAAAATATGCACAGTTGCATACCCATCTACATTGGTAAAATTAAAATTTTGATCATTTTGTTGTTTATCGCAGGTAATTTTTGCTAATCTAGTTTGGGTTTATTGTAGCAGCAAACCTTATTACTCATCGAACCAATGTTATTTATAATGGGCATGGGACCTGCAGTCAAGTAAATTTTTATCTTAACTCTTTTGAATAAACTAAATAAGCAACTATAAATTCCCTTAGGCAGCAGGTTTTCTGCATCAAGGGTATTTATATATTATTATATTATCATATATTTTACATCATACTACACAGAAATTGGTACTTTTCCATCCGTATTGATAGGCTGGAAAGTTGCCCCTTGCCGTGCCTACACACAGAAAAGTAACGTAATTTACTTTTACCGTGCACTTAGTCAGCTGATGCAATAAACAGCTAATTGCAACAGCCTATTTTATTTTCTGAAATATAAAAAATACATATTATAATTTTTCTAATGTCCTAGAAATAAATTGTGTTATGAGTTTAAAATAAAAATGTACTAATTTTTCTGTGTAGTATGATATAAAGATACCTTACTCGCCCAGAAAGCTGTACCATACTGGCACAAAAATCTGTCGTGCTCGCACAGTAAAACACCTCTTACCGGGCTAGTAACGTAATATAAAGGGTGATTTTTTTTATTGGTGCGGTTTTTAAAACTAAATAAAAAAATGAAAAACAACCTGCATTGACATAAAAAAAGCACTTATTTGAACTACAGTGTCATGACATTAACGTTTAAAATGATTTCTGGCATATGGGCTCCATTCCGTTCGCGTAGAAAGCCCAATCGAGAAGTCCAATTTTCGAATACTCTTTCCAGCAGCTGTGGTTGAATTCCGCCAATAACTCGACGAATGTTAGCTTCCTAGTCATTTAAAATTTCAACGCTATCGGGCAATGTTACCGGACTTTTTCGTTCCTCAGCTAAACGAACTTGAAGTGGATTTAGAAAATGTCTGATTCCAACAAGACGGCGCGACGTGCCACACGGCAAACGACACAATTGGCCTCTTGGCAGAAACATTTGGTGAACGTATCATCTCATTTAGAGGTAGTGTCAACTAGCCCCCACGGTCAAGTGATATCACGCCAACAGACTTCTTTCTGTGGGGATATGTTAAGTCTCAAGTATACGCTGACAAGCCACAAACTTTAAATGACTTGGAAGCTAACATTCGTCAAGTTATTGGCGGAATTCAACCACAGCTGCTGGAAAGGGTATTCGAAAATTGGACTTCTCGATTGGGCTTTCTACGCAAACGGAATGGAGAACATATGCCAGAAATAATTTTTAAACATTAATGTCATGACACTGTAGTTCAAATAAATGCATTTTTATGTCAATGCAGGTTGTTTTTCATTTTTTTATTTAGTTTTAAAAACCGCACCAATAAAAAATCACCCTTTACTATTACAGCAATTTATTGTGTACATTTTCAATGCGACTTTTTGTGACAGTCATAAGTGTTGAAACTTCTTCTTTGTTATGAAAATATAAATCATACATTTTATATAATTTCACAAGTTGTGTTTTACTCTATCCTGTCATTACATGTCCCTAACTACATCTAGCCAACCAAAAATAATGAACAAATGAACTTCTTACCCATTTGACTTGGCTACGAAAAGGAGTAAATTACTTTAAATTCAACAGTATGATTTTTTGTGCTTTTTTACAGTGACAGTTTTGACCCCTTTATCTGAGTTATGAGCAGGATGATTTTTATAACATGTAAAATGAGTTTTGTTTCTAATAGCAAAGCTGAATGTGTAATTATTATTTCTGTTAATAAATATTTAAATAACCACATTACTCTTTTCTGCATCCTCTACCTATTGCAAAGCACATGTAAAGCAACTAGTTGATTATATAATGATTACAAAGGATAGCTCGGTCCAGTTTAGAACAATGCATTGATTTTTCAGGGCAAAGGTGAATGTGTGCATTGTGAATGTATTTGGAGACGAGCTATTCCTGAAGAAGGGACCAAAATAGAATGCTGAATGTTCAACGATTACCCTCAACTTTGTCTAAATATATTGAATATATGGTTTAATTAGCTGTAACCCCAGGGCTTCACCCCGTTTGACTTCATGGTTAAGTTAAACTGAAATAAACAAAACAGAATACAGTAATACAAACAAATAATCACACCTGATTTTTAATAAGGTAATAAATTGAAAGAACAACAAACAAATAAGTACAGCTGAGGTATTTTTAACATTAGTATACAAAAAATTAGTGCTGCACCCTGTTGGTAAATCTTATAACTTTTAATGCTTTCGCATATCATAGAACCAATTATTTTAGTTGAAACAGCTGACTAAATTCTTTAATCCCCTTTTAATATGAATACTCATAAGGTTAACATGGGGAACTACAGAGCCACTGGGGCGGAGCCTGAAAGGATTTTTGAGATAAGAATATGCCTATATGTTAATCGGGAATGTGAGCTATCATGATGCCAAATTTCAGCCCAATCCGTCCAGTGGTTTATGCGTGATTGAACTTCAAACAAACAAACAAACACACAAACTTTCACATTTATAATATTAGTAAGATTTAACAACAAATCTTTAAATAAAATTGCTATAGAGGAAAGTATACTACACTGTAAACATACTATCTAATATTGTCTTTTCTAATTTAAATTCTTTTCCTTAATATATTTTGCTGTCTTCCTTAATTTCCTAAATTCAGCCCCACAAAGTTGGGAACTTAAATGTTGTTGTTTTGTTTTTCCAATCGCTCTTGAACTCTTTTAGGAAAAACTCAAATAAATTTACCATTTGTAATGTTACTATAAATAAACGGTATCAGCAATATGACACATATACTTTCTCCCATTAGCTTGTCAACAACCTTAATCATGGGGAAGCGGTGAGAGTAGCTGTGAGGTTTTATGGGAAAACCACATAAAGACCGTAACATGCTAAATTTTGATTAAAATCGTTCAGGCCGTTTTTGTAAAAAGATTTTCCTATATTTAATGGGAAAATCACAATTAAAAATCAAAATGTCCAAAAAAAAAACCTGGAGATATCACGGATCACTAAATCAAAATAAAGTACTAAAGCAAAATTACAACATTTTGTAAAAATATAGTTCTTTTTAAATGCTAACAGCGTAACATTGCCAACATTGTTTATATTGACCATCTATGGACCCATTCCTATATTTAAACAAACTCCAAACTGTATGTAAAGGGTTTATAAAAAATACTTGCAAAAAGTTCGATATCGATATATCGGACGTTGGGTCTATTGACGCAAACCCCTTAAATACCTCTTCTGGGGAGGGGGCGAAATTTAATTCTCGCCCGGGGCGTCTATTCTGGGGCGGCCCTGTGGATTAGTAGGCCTACCTTCTTACCGCAATGGCTGTATTTAAAAACGGTTGTTTTTGCAGCATGACAAAAAATATAATGTTTTAACTCGTATGATGTTTGAAAAGTAAGTTAAATTATATAGTTGACCATAAATTTGTGTTTTTTTTTTTACTAATCTCTATTCTCTTATACAGTAATATCAACAATTTAGTAGCCTAAATAATTAATTAATTGTATAGTAAATGGAAGTTAAACTAACAACAATGTAAGGTACAGTACAGACTTAAAAATTATCTCAGCACATCATCTCATAGTTATGAGTCAGAAACTATCGTAATGTAAACAAACGCGATAAGTATCACGTGGTCGCAACAATGGGCTGATTATGGACAGTAAACAGATGTTTGATTGTTATGTGATCAGCTGTTTGAGAGCTGGTTGGCGCGCAGCCGGCTCGCGCATGCGCCCTGTCGTCTGCTAGACGTCCTTGCTTTAACCTTGTGCTCTAGTAGTGTTCGTAGTCTGTGTGTTGTGACTGTGCGCTTCTCTACGTTTCAGGTTTGTACAATTACTGACACGTTGGTTGAAAATTATCAATGAAAACCTGTGATAAATATTTTGTTATGCTGGATGGAGAAAAGTTATAGGATATGAATTGGAAACTTTGTAAGGAATAGTTGTTTGTGACAAATTGTTTTAAATTTGAAAATTAATAGTTAATTAATATATTATTTGTCTATGGTTTTACTGCAACTGGTTTTTTTTTATTGGTAATATTATATAGTTCTTAAGTGGAAGTTTTGATCCAAAATGTGAAGTTTTTATTGTTTTTATGCACCAGATGGCTTTTGTCAACGGACATAAATAAACTGTACAGTATTACCATCAACTTGAGTTAAGTAGTAAAGTAGACATCCCATATTTTATATAGCCAACTAGTTGTAGCCAATTTTTGTAGTTCAAATTTAAAAAAAAATAGGTAAATGAACCTCTTACTAAGTAGGCCCACGCTTCTGTCAAAATTATATTTTCTCCCTTGACTTTTGATAAGGTAAGTTACTATGATAACTTATATGACTCATTCGTTTCTGTAATAATATTATTAAAATAAGTTCTCTTTTCGTTTTAGCTTGACTAAAAATTTTGCGAAATCATAAACTCGAAATCAATCAACATAAATGTTCATTCAAAACATGCTACAGCATTTTCATCATGGGAATAGAATGTATGTTGTCTAACCTACCAATGTCCTATCTAGTAGCAAATGTAGTGTAGAGCATAAGCGAAAGATCGGTCGGCAAAATAATAGTTTTTTTACCACGTCGAAAAATATATCATTGGTGTTTTTCAAACCTTAGAATATTAGATATTTCAAGTAAAAGACGGGATACGCGTAACAAAAAAACTGCGTCGTTGACAATGGACACAAAAATATATAAATCGACAGTCCGTCTTCGGAGTAAATATTTAACTTCAAGTCCATATTGCTCCCAACTCCCAATGTTAAGTCCGGGTTTAAAATAACCTTCAATACTGCAGGAATATTCACCAAAAACATAAAATCGTACAACAGAGAAGTGACCAGACTGAAGTCAAAGTTCAAAGAGTCTTGCCCTCAAGAGACAAGGAAGATGTCAAGGTACAAAACTGTCTGGCACTTAGTAGTCAAATGGCGTACAAAAGAATGATTAATCAAAATGGGAGTATGTTTAATTACTGCAATTTCTGTAGCCTATTGTACAGATGTTTCCAATTGTCAGTGACATTTTGTTTCGCTTCATTTCGTTGTTATATCACTATTCCCACCTTACTAACAACTTATCATACCTATATAGTATGTATGTTTTTGTATTTGTGTCAGTTGGTTTAAATGTATTTTTGTAAATCGAAATTCTAACGCCATCAATCCCTTTTGGGTAAAATATGAAGACACGGTAATAACGCTGCACTTTGAATTAGTTCTATAAATAAACCAATTTAATTTGTTTACTAGAGGGTTTGCAATTTATTTCTGGAGGGAAAAACGGAAGTGCGGCCAAACAGCAATGAAATCTGGAATGCTTTGCATCTGGAGCCAAATCCGCGACTTGTTATAGCCAAGAAAGTAGGAGTTGTTGATATGTACCAAATATTTAACTGATAATTAATCTCACTACTAATAATAAACAGTTTTTCACAACTACTAAACAGCTACAAATACTGCTAAACATTTGTTTATAAACAATAAAGAGCTCTACTCTACACTAAAACAAACAGTTCTCTTTTACTACCAAAGAGTTGCTAAAACAATAACAACAACAATGACAACAAACAATGACAACTGAAATTGTTATTGAATGTAAACAATGACTTTTTTACGCTGAGTTGCTAAAATACCTAACAGTTTTCCACTTAATTATTAACTACTTAGTATTTGAACAATCCCTCGTTGCTGAAAATTAACTTTCAATTTCTTGTAGACAATTCTCTATTTCTAAAAAGCTTATTCTTAAACTATATTCACGTTTCAATTCCTGTTTGAATCGGTCGTCAATCCTTTAAACACATTTTCTTCGCTAGCAGACTATTTTAGCAATGACACTACAAAACTCATTATTTATTAATTTAACTGTACAAATTCTCGTTTTCACTTGTTCAATGTCTAGTTACGGTCTTAGTGGAAAATAGTTCGAGTAAGTAGCAATGAATGGGCCGAGTATGTTGTGATAAAAATAGTACCCTAAGTAGGCGTTTAACCTCGCCTTGCTAATTATTTTGCGCTACCTTGAAGATATGCACTGCTCGAACAGTGCTGTAAAATACAGTTTCCTCTCTTGACGAACTAAATGGGTAACGGATTGTAAACAATGTCCCCACCAACAAAACTCTTGAAACAAACTTATGAAAACCCCATTCACCTATTTTCAATTTTAATAAAAAACACAGAACTCTTATCTTTACCATGTTTAAAGAGGACATCAACAAACATTGAATTTGAGGAGACACAAAAATTAACAATCCAAAATATTTATCGTTTAGTTGAAAACTACTTTTAAGCCACACTACACTATTTTGACGAACTTCCCACGCAAGGATTTAGTCCAGAAAACGGCTGTTTGCCGCCAGCTTATTTAAAAAGTGTTTCATTGCGTACTACCATAGAATACGTACCATAAAAAAATGACGTTGTTGGCCCGAATCCTATACTAATAACATTGAACATATGTTTTGGCAGTTCCATTTAAGCAATGTTAAATAATGTTTATTTTTGGGCCAAAAACGTCATTTGTTTATGTTTATGATCCATACCGGTATTTTTATAGTATTCGTGAGTAGTATGGCGTAAACTATCGTACGTAACTCGTCCAAAATGTGTTTACCGGACTCGTATATGGTAATCCCGTACTCGACTTCGGCTCGCACGGGAACGACCACACTCGTCCGGTAAACACTTATTTTCAGGACTAGTAACGTAATATACTATTTTATACCATGAAATAATTGATATCGGAGCCAAAATAGTGCGCTCGATGGGAATAAGAATATACCAATTGAATTAAAAATGAAATTAAAAAGAGTTCGTATTTATCAGACATTAAATTTATTTTTTTCACCTTTTTTGAGCGCTGAAATTGTGTACTTATTCAAGATGTGCTGTTTCCATTGAATAAGTCTTGTTAGGTGCTGGGCCTATTATATTACGTTTGTTTAGGCTTAATTCTAGTTTTACCAGTAAAGCCCCGTTCACACGGGGCGAGTTTACAAGCTACACGCCGGCTTTTTTACACGCAGCTAGTAAAATAGCTCAGTGTGAACGACGTACTCGCTCAAAAGCTGCTTGTAAAAAAGCTCTGGAAAAAGTTGACGGTGCCGCTACTTTACACGCCAACTCGCCAGCTTTTGCGCGAGTAGGCGTGTAAAGTAGCCCAGTGTGAACACCGTTGCTTGTGCTTGTGCGCTTGTTACTCAAAGATGTTGGAGGATTTGGTTCAAGCCAGCGACTGAGCGAGTGGAAAAAGCATCGTGTGAACGACTACAAGCGCACTCGCCGACTCGCCGGCGTCTTTCTACACGTCTGCGAGTTGGCGAGTGGACAAGCTCCGTGTGAACGAATACAAGCACACTCGCCAACTCGCCGGCTTCTTACACGCTGGCGTGTAGCTTGTAAACTCGCCCCGTGTGAACGGGCCTAAAGTGATTATGTTAAAAAGTAGCTACTGTAATAACATTTTGAACTGAAGTTTGTTTTATTTATTAGATCAGCCGTTTAACATCATTGTATTGGTAGTCACTCGTTTGAGTTACTAACCAGAAGGTTGTAAATTCGATCATGGGGAAATATTATGACTTTTTGTTGACCAAAAATATACACATCTGGGGCCCATTTCATAATAAACTACAAGTTACAAGTTACAACTTGTAACTTGTTATTTCCATTAGATTTGCATTGGGCAATCAGCTGATTTACTAATAATATTAGTTTGTACTTTATTATGAAATGGGCCCCAGTTATCATTCACTGTTTTTTACTCTTTAAGGAAGGCGTAAACTGTCTTTAACCAACGGGCAAAAAATTGGTTGGAAAGCCATACAAGGCATGACATAACCATATATTAAACAATCTCCCTTAAGCTGAAGACAATGTTATTGTTAGTTCCATCCGATGCCTCTTAGAATCGTGTTTTTTGTTTACAATTTTTTTGTTATTTCAGTTACATAAAACCTCGTTTAACCAAATAAAACTATGTAATCATTAACAACAACTCGTCTCCTAGTTATATAACCAAGCAATAAAGCACAAATTATAAAATTAGCCCTAAAAAATGAAATTAACATTTCATTGATAGCACCCGAACTAGAGATGAACAACAATCTTCAAATTTTACATCGGGAAGAAATGTGTTCCCGATGTGTTGGTTAGTCTATGACATAAAATTATTCACATTCTACTAACTGTTCATACATATTAATTTTAAAATACCCCCGCCGCAGCAAACCTGCAGACTTAGCGAATTTCCATTTGCCCGATTGGATTTAAACTAAAATGTCTCCTTAAAAATATCACATTTATTCCCTATTTAAACAGAATTAGTTTAATGAGTACTTAGGTTTGCTGCAACAGGGAGGGTAAAAAAGTTTTTTTTAAATGTAAAATATTAAAAGGTACTGTGGTTTAGTAAGAAATTAATGTATTTTCCAAATTTTATCAAAATATGTTCATAAACAAGCAAACTACAACAGTTGACTTATTCTCCATAAGAATAACATGGGAATTTTAAAATTACAATTTTTTGAATTTTCTCTGTAACAATTAGGCGCATAACAACGCTTCAACATACTAAATTATTTGTTTTTTTAAGCTCTACAAAATGGTTTAAAAAAAAATTGTGAAATTTTGTGTTTTTAGGGTCAAAAATGGGAAAAACATATTTTTACCCCATAAAACCCCCCATAAACCCCCGTTCCCATAGTCCGATCATGCTGGTTCGCGAACTCTCCAACATCGAACAAAAAAATTTACTTTTCTCAGGATCGAACCAGCGGCATCCAGTGAGAAAGGCGAACACAGTAACCACTCA